GAAAGGAGGTGGTCATGGGGGAATGGTAGGAGAAGAAAACCCCCCAAGGGTAAAAAAGAAAAGAGCTGAGGTGGGGTGGGGGATTTGTATAGGAGAATGGGAGGAGAAAACTGCAGAGCAGGGAGGAGAGTGAGTGAGTTTTGGGTCTGTTCTTAGGATTATAATTTTTTTTTCTCCTTTTCTTCAATTTTTTCTAATTTTGTATTTATTTTAACCCTATTTTTATTTGTTAATTATGAAAATTCATATTTACCCTCAAATTTGGTTAAATCTAATAGAAAATTAGACCGTGGGATTAATGGAACGAATAATATAGAGTTGATGGACCATTTGAATAAATAATTTAATTGAGGAACCAAAACGTAAATCGGGTATAAGTTTGGGGACCATTTGAGCAATTTACCCTATTTCATTAAGACTTTGGATCTTGAATGACTATTTTCTTGACTCTAGGGAATGACTATTTTGTTTTATACAAGTGATATTGGGGAGCCGAGAATTGAACCTAAGATCTCATATGCAATGGTAACTATTCTCAACCACTTAAGCTATAAGTTTTTTCAACTTGGTAATAAATATTACTAAATCAATATTCTAGATTATGTAAATGATGATGTATTCATGATTTACCTTGATTAGCTTATTTCCATAGTGCTACTTCGAAGATCTTGACAATTGTATTACTGACCTAAGGCCTTCTCCAACCCATGAGGGGCTAAACCCAAATTTTTCCCCTCCAAAAGTAACTATTCGGGTTTTGCCCGAACTCAAATCATTTTTTCTTCAACCCTCCGGACTCAAATTTTAAGTCCGCAACTTTATTAAATTGTTTAAGAATGGTTTAAGTCTATTTTTTTTTTTCATGGATGACTTTTCTACATTTAATCTTTTAAAATAACATCATAATTTAATTTTTTGAACAATTTGACCTAAAAAAAATTGAAATTCCATAAATTTAATTTTATTCCAAAAGTAAACACACAACATAATTGAAACACAAAATGAGGACTGAAACAATTATTGACCTCATTTACCATTTCCAAAGCTCATCCAAATGTGATTGATCAAATCATGTCGGAGACTCTGATGCACATGTGGAGATTGAACTCTATTATGATGAATCATATAATCAGAGAGAGTCTGCTCATATTGTCTTGCTCTGGCCCTCCTAGATCGTTGTGGACACATATTCTCATCATCAGATTCCTGTTCAACATATTCGTACTCATCCTCCACAATCATGTTGTGCAAAATTATACACGTCATCATGATTGAGTGGAGGTTATCCTTGCACCACATACGTGCAGGACCTCGCGAACAATAGCCCATCGAGCCTGTAGTATTCCAAATGCTCTTTCAACATCCTTCATGGACAATGGCTTCTATCACTCTCTGATGATGTGATATTCTTCATCATCTGAATCATCATCAAACATAAAGGAAAAGATGACATTGCCACAGTTATCCATTGAAAACTTCAAATGATATGAAAA